TATACACAACAATTTTATTTACATTATCTTATTTAAATTTCACTACACCTTGAGAGTTAGGCACTGATATTACTTCCATTTTTCAAATGAGTAAAGTAGGGCTTAGAGAGGTTAAATAATTTGCCCAAACAAGGCCACAAAGCTAAGCAGTTTCAGAATAGATTCCATCCTAATTCTGGTCTGACTACGAAACAACCTCTCAGCTATAGTTTCTCCCTCAAAATTTCCCCCATAATACTTTTCTTAAAAGCAAAATGTCATTTTTGAAAACTTTTATATTTAGAAAAGTCATCATACTCCAGTTATTAAAAGACTAACCTAATTTACTCATACCTCTATTCAATTCCTTTGAAAGTTTTTTGAAGTTAGTGTCTCTAGGCAAAAATATTAAGATCTGAAGGAAATATACATGAATAAAATTCTTTCCCTGATGAAATGAAATAGTGGATGTTACCAGTGACTTGCCTCATTTTGAAACTGGAATTATCATCAGAGAGCCTATTTCTATTTATATAAAACTACATGGTACTGTTTCTGATTATAATTTCTGTAAAGTTATAGTTAATTGTTAGTTGAAAAACTAGATTTTTAGCAGCCAAATTTCTTGCTATTGTATAGTTTTATTATAATGAAGTAAAGGAGTAGCCTGGGAATAAAGAGTAGAGATATGATCATGGCATGTTAAAGTGGGAAAAGATTTGGAGGTCATTTTGCCCATTCTCTGTATTTTAGAGAAGAGAAAATTGAGGTCCAAATAGTTAAATATTTCTGTGTCTCCTAACCTGTCATAGTACACAAGTATAAGATTAAAGTGTGTGAAAAGTGATTTTTCATTTGATAATTAAGACAGTCTTGCAAATATATTTAACCAAGTTCCAAAACTGTATCAATAAGAGAAATGGATTTTTAAAAAACTCAAGTTAACGAAAAGCATAATATGTGGTACATAAAATGTGCCTAATAAATATTTGTGAATGAACAAATGAAAAAAATATTTTATTGCTTTTAGTCTTCAAGTTCCCTCACAGTCCTTGAATTCATATTTTATAAGCAATCATAATGTATACTTAAAACTTACTTTGCTTTTGGCACTTGAGTTATAGTGTCAACATTTTTCCATGTTGTTATAAAATATGACTATAATCTTTTAAAGTACCTACTGAAGTTACAACACTTCTGAGTTCAGATCACAAATGACCGTTAACAGGCAAATCCAGGTTTTGGGGGACCTTTATTGAGGGAAAAATGTACAAAAATGTTACTTTAAAAATTTTTACACAAGCCTGGCTGGGTGTGGCTCAGTGGTTAAGCGTCGACCTGGGATCCAGGAGATCGGGGTTCGATTCCCGGTCAGGGCACATGCCCCGGTTTAAGGGCTGCAGCCGATCAATGACTCTCTCATCATTGATGTTTCTATCTCTTTCTCCCTTTCCTTTTCTCTCTCTGAAATCAATAAAGATATATTTTTTTTAAAAAAAAATATTTTTACACAATAATGAAAAAATATCTAGGTCTTTCAAAAGAACATTTCAGGGCCTTGGAAGGTTCTGTGCATTTAGGAGCCCTGAACCTTCAATAGCTTCAAGTACACCTGACTCTGTTAATAACCAGACACCATCTTCATGGTGGTTATGATATACCTTGAATATTTTTTAGAGGTTTTCTAGAATTTTAGAAAAGTATATCACACTTCAATAGTGTTAGAAATTCTTTCTCTCCAGTTGATCTGGAATCTTTTCAGGCTCCACTATAAACTTGGTAGCTTTTAAATTATAAGCAAGCCTCTTAACTTCTTCAGACCTCAAATCCCTCATCTATAGAATGGGCTTAATATCCATTTCAAAGAATTACAAATGAAGACAAAGATGAAATATTTGGCACAGTTCTTGACAAATAGTAAGTGCTCAATAAATATTTCCTATTATGATTACAGCAATAACCTACCAAGTAACCTACCATATATGGGAACCTATCTCTCCATTATCACTTCCCACATTGACTATATATGAAATGTGGTGCAAAATGATTTTCAAAGTGTTGTGCAGATTCAATTTTTTATTTTAATTTTTTAAAAATAATGTTATTACGAAAAGTAATGCCTATATAACAGAACATTTGGAAAACAGAAAGAGAAAAAAAGCACACATAGTTTCACCAGACTTATACTATATTTCCATGTTGTATTTTTTCCTTTATGCAGATTTAATTTTATAAAAATATGCTTAAAATAAGTAGATCCAATTATTCTCTTTTCACAGAGGTTTGATATTATGGCATCATTATTTTCAAATACATGGCAAATTTCAAAGATGTTTTATATAAAACTATTTTAGAAAAATCAGATGAAAGAGAAGGTATGCATTCTACTGTTATATTTCCATACTTACTAAAAATTCATAGTTTTACATGCTTATGATCCTAGTGTACATAGATTTTAATGGCATTTTTTCTTACATTATATCAAAAGCCTTTCTCCATACTACTATATACAACTGACACAACACTCACAGTAACTAAAGCATCTGAGAGCAAGGCTTAGTTTCCTAAACTTCATATGTATGTGAAGAAACTAAGGCAGGCTAAGGTGTGATAAGTCAGAAACTCAGAATGAGTGCTGGTTTACCTGAAACTGTAATGTAGAAAATGTACAAAGAGATTAGAATTCAGGAATTCTTGTCTTCCAACTAAATGTATAAATCAGCAAAAGAATATAAAGCATTATCAATATAATACTATATATTGCATATACACTTTTATTTCTCCTTTAATAGGTGGAAAGTGGTGGAATATTATTAAATGACAAAGACTTATTTGTCATGATATATGGGGTTTTAGCTCTCAAAATTAGGTAAACATACTCTCACCACAAAGGGATCTTTCTTTAAAAATTAGCAAGGCGATGCAAATCCTCAACCTATTGAACAGTTCACAGTCTGGTAACAGTTGTCTGGATTCAGTGACATTTGCTGTTGGAAATAGGCTTTTACCTTTCAATTATGCTATTGTGTTGACCTTCATTGATTTCAGGCCACAAACTCTTCCTTTTAAGTGTCTTTGTTCCTTTGACATTGTCTTGCTGTAAGAATTCAAGTCACATTTAAAAAGTTATAAAATATACATTGAGGAAACAATCCATGTGTCCAATCCGAATGAATGGATACACAAAATGTAATATATACATGCAATGGAATATTATTCAGCCTTACAAAGTAAGGAAATGCTGGTACAACATGGATGAATCTTGAAGACATGCTAAGTGAAATAAGTCAGACACAAAAGGATAAATATTACATGATTCTACATGTATAAGGTATCAGAGACAGAAAAGAGAATAGAGGATACCAATGGACTAGGGGTAGGAGGGCAAGGGGGGTTATTGTTTAATGGGCACAGAGTTTCAGTTTGAATAATGATAAGCTTCTGGAGACGGACAGTGGTGATGGGTGCACAACAGCGTGAATGCACTTTCTGCTACTGAACTGTATACTTAAAAATGGTTAAAGTGGTAAATTTTTTGTATTTTTCATAAATTAAATACCCTCAATATAACATATACTTAAGAAGTATATTTTACAGCTTTGCTGGCATGGCTCAGCGTTTCAACATCGACCTATGATCCAGGGGATCCCAGTTTGATTCCTGGTCAGGGTACATGCCGGGTTTGCGGGCTCCACCCCCCAAAGGGGGACGTGCAGGAGGCAGCCAATCAATGACTCTTTCACCATTGATGTTTCTATCTTTTTCTGCCTCTCCCCTCTCTGAAACCAATAAAAGACATATTAAAAAAAAGTATATTATACATACATACATATTCAGTTTAAGAAATATATAAAGCAAATATGTACAGGGGTGGGTAAAAGGTTAATAATAAATACAATAACAAATAAATAACACAAGAATAAACCCTGTTTCAACCATATTCACAACTGTAAACCTACTTTTGTCAACCCCTGTATAATCACCACTTGGGTCAAAAAATAAAATACTATCAGAGGGTACCCCTGAGCTCCTCCCCACCACAATCCTTTTCTTCCTTACTGAGTAACCACTATCCTAACATGTGCTTAAAAATCAAGCTGTGATGTGATAATGCAGGCTAAGTCGCAACAAAATGCCAGAATATTTAAATTCCAATATTTTCCAGAAATGCAATTTTTTCCAAAACTTAATCACTTTTAAAGTGCTCTTGTCCTTCTTCGCTCTTGCAACTCTTCATAATTCTAAAACCTATCGTGGTTCCACAGTTGACGTCACCTGCAGAGTTTAAAAACACGCACACCACAACTAATTCTGTGTAGATTTTTAATTTTTATTCCTCCTGCTCTCTATTGCCTCCAACTACAAAGAAACAGTGCTTTAAACCCTTTGTGCCCTTTTAGAAAATTACACAGATACCCCATTGTGGAACCTTATAATCCCTTCGTGGAAAGGAAGAGATTAGCATATGAATATAAAGCAAAATTAATCCAGAATACAAAATGATCTACCGATTGTGAAGCTCTTGTAATCTTAAAAATGTATGTATTGCCTCTTTTTGTATCGCGCCTTTAGTGGTCTCAGGGTTAAGGAACTGAGCTTCCCCTCCGGTTACCCGGAAAAGGATTAAAAAAAAAAAAAAAAAAAAAAAAAGCTAAAAGATTCTAGGAGATGCAAAACCAACAGATGGCTCCCAGAGCCAGTGGAATCGCCCGTGGAATCTGCTACATTCGACGTGAGGTTGCTGGCGGGCGAAGAGTGTAGAAAGTGCTGTTCGCCGACTGCGCGGTGAAGGAGAGAAAGCGACCGGAGAAAGAGCCATAGTGCTGACGTTGAAGGCCCGGCCCTGTGAGGTTGCACAGGGTAAGCGGCGTTGGCCGGCAGGCTGTGGCGAAGAGGAAGGAAAGAGGCTTTGGCTGGGGGCGGGGCCTGCGGCGCAGCGTGGCTCCTGATTGCTGGAGCGCGGCTGCCAATCTCACAAAATCGCTCTGCTAACCAGTGCGCTGGCGAGACGCGCTCAGATATACTGAGTGAGTCCGGAGAAGCAGTCTCAGATCCTGACGGTGCAGGCAGCCCGCAGCCTCAGCTAGGGAGTCCCAGTCGCTTTCAATGGAGGAGAAGCCCGGCCAGCCACAGCCTCAGCACCATCACAGCCACCACCATCCGCACCATCACCCCCAGCAGCAGCAGCAGCCGCACCACCACCACCATTATTATTTCTATAACCACAGCCACAACCACCATCACCACCACCATCACCAGCAGCCTCACCAATACCTGCAGCATGGAACCGAGGGCAGCCCCAAGGCCCAGCCAAAGCCGCTGAAACATGAGCAGAAACACGCCCTCCAGCAGCACCAGGAAACGCCGAAGAAGAAAACAGGTCTGTGAGGGAGGACGAGT